TCGAAACTCGCATATGTCAGTTTTAAAAATTATGATTTTGGAGGGCCTCAATTATTTACCAAAACAGGGCCACAAAAACCTAAAATCCGACCCTGCTTTTCAGCTAGACGTACCAAATACAACCTTAGATTGGAGTATTATTGGCTTATATGACTACTTCCAACCAAAAGCTGCCGAAAAACTTGTGAATTCACATTGAAAGACAACATCTCTAAGGTTGTTTAGAGAGCTATTGATAAATTTTTCTCCCCCTTGTTGACTAAATGAGGGTATATTTATACAAATAAAATCACACTATTTTAGGAGTTGATATGGGAAGTCATTATTATTCTTAATATTAATATATCATTATAACTTAAAAGAAATCATGCTTAAGATCAGATTAATTTGACATTTTTAGAGTTATTTGCTCCTTAGAGCATTCACAACAATTGCATATAAAATTTAAATTTTTTTATAATCTCAATAAAAGAAAGAAATCTGTATATATAATAGAAACCTTAATTCAGCTAATTAGATTGCTTCATTTTCCCACTCAAATTTGACGACGTCATTTTCCTTTTTTTTTTTTTTTTTTTTTGTAATTCAAATTTTTGCTTCTCCCGCCTGTTTAGTTTGTAATAAGAGACGTGTGGTGTTAGTCTTAGAATTTAGGGTAGTGGGCTATTATCTACTACAAAGTTAGTAGTGTAATGTGTTTAGGTAACGTGTAAATTAGTCTAAATGGGTATTGGAGTGCTTAAAAGTACATTTAGTGTATTATTTTATACATTACTAAGCTGACTTCTACACCTATAAATACATACATATTCTGAGTGTTAATATGCAAACACAAAGCTAAGCAAAATAAATTACTGTCCTGATCATTTATGCAAATAGAAATAGAAATATAAGAAAGTAAAGATCAAGGTTTTAAGCATTGTTTTCTGGTTTGTAGTGGCAGCATGTCTGGGCTGTTTATTATGGGGATGCAACTAGGGGTATAAACGAGTCGAGCCGAGCCCGAGCCTGGGTATGCTTATGCTCGTGCTCGTTAATGATAGTACTGCTCGAGTTCGAGCTCGAGCTTGTTTGAGCTCGTGAACTGATGCTCGAACTCGAGCTCGGCAATTGTCGAGCTGCTCGAGCTCGAATTCGAGCATGAACTCGAGATCGAGTTTAGGCTCGAATTTGAGCTCAATTTTGATCTCGAATTTGACCTGTTTGATTTAAAATTTAAACTACTTTTTTTTTATGACTTTTATCCATACATAATTATTAAAGTATTTTAATTTCCCTCCCCTAATTATTATTTTTATATACTAAATATAATATAATTATATTATATATTATATATTATATAATATATTATAAAGCTCGCGAGCGGCTCGTCGAGCCGCGAACCTACAATACCTAAGCTCGGGCTGCTCGGCTCGTGCTCGTTTAATCCATGAGCTGCTCGAGCTCGAGCCGAGCTCGATTTTGACCGAGTTCGAGCCGAGCGTTGACCGGACCGCTCACAAGCGACTCGCGAGCGGCTTGGCTCATTTACATCCCTAGATGCAACTTCATCCTCAGCAGACCTCAAAGGCTATAAGGTTGCTTTGTGTGCGGTCTTAAAAATTAATAAGAAGTCAAGAATGTGTATTTCATGATCAAGAGGTTTGTAAATTATATACTACCATGCTTTGTATTCTTTCTTTTTGCAAATCTTATATTGTTGATATCTAACTTAGTTGTTTTTGGTGTGTTTTAAATATAGGGTGTGTTCATCCATGTCCATATACCTAAGGATATTGTTGCAAAATATAAGAACATATTCAATGAGGGTAAAGTGTATGTTATTAGAAACTTCCTATGCATCACTAACTTCTTCAAGTATAAAACAAGCACTCATCGTTACATGATGAAGTTCAAACACGATACGCTTGTGAAGGAGTAAGCGTGTGAATTTCCCAAAAATAATATTTCGCTTCAAGAGTTTTGAAGTCATACTTTCAAAGCAAGAAATCGATGATAATTGATAAAGTGTTGATAGGTTAGAGTTTAAAAAAATGTTTTCTAAAGTCACTGTGTTTTATTATAAAGATTGTGATGTTAAGTTTTATTTAACTAATATGTTGTTGTTTTCAAATACAGATGTCATTGGTCGTATTGTGGAGATATATTCTCCACTGGAGAAGGTAATAGCTGGGAAAAAGTGTAAGCTAATTGACTTTGTGCTTGAAGATTCTAGGTATGAATCCTTACTTTGTTTTTTCTCCCTAAGGTTAATTTTAAAAGTGTATCTTATGCTTTTTCTACTGGTTTTAAAATCTTATGTAGTAAAAAGCAGATTAAGTGTATACTATGGGATGAGCATGTGGATCAACTAACTCCTTATTTTCACTCAGATCAGTTGTTAATGGTCCAGTCATATTGTTGATTTAGCTTTGCCAAGCTAAATTCATGGACAGTGAGCGATGTGTATTATTTTTCTTAATTTTCATCTATGTTTATACTTTGTTGAGTTAACAATTTCTATTCACTATTTTTTTTGGGTAGATGGTGAAGTACGCATCTGCAACTCTTTTGATGCTACTCAGCTCTTTTTTCACACACTCTTGCAAAGAGTTTCGTGAGTTAAAGAGCATGTCAGTTTGTCTAAGCTATTTTTATTGGTCTTTTTAATATGTACAAGTTTCTGTCATAATATTTATTTTTCTATTTTCTGTTAGTAGCTATAACAGTAATCATACACCTTTACGGTGTATAGATTCTGATTCCATGTTGTCTGATGGTTATCTTGGTAGTTCTGTGCATCCTAATGATGTGTTGGTTAGTTCCGTTGAAGATATATACTCCAAAAAATAGGTAATGTCTTCTTCTATGACAGTCTTTACTTAACTTTTTAACTATGTTACTTATTTATTTGATTCTTACTTGCAGCGACAGGTAGAATTGTTGATGTAGAGAGTTTAAGTGATTGGTATTACATCTCTTGCAAGAGAAAGGTTGTTGTTGAGGGTGGTATGATGTATTGTGGTGGGTGTAAAAGTTCTTGGCACGGGGGAGTTGTGAGGTATAGGCTGATTGTTCGTGTTGCTGGTCATACTAGGTATGCTCATATGCTTATATGGGATCGTGAGTGTGCGGAATTGGTTGGTGTGTTAGCTGGTGACTTAAAGGCTAAGTATCCAGAGGTAGGTATTCTTATGCAACATAGCTGGCTGCTGAATTCACTACTTTAAATGTTCATGTGTTTTTGTCTTTAAATCTTTGTAAGGGAATAATTGTATTCCACCTGAGCTAGGGTGTTTGCGTGGCATGTCTATGTTGTTTCGTATTGCTATGAAGAATGAGCAGGTAGAGAGTTACTACTCTGCTTTAACAGTTATTAGGATTTGCAGGGATGAAGCAGTGCTTACACAGCACTGCTCAAGTCTGTCAGCTGGCAATTTAGAAGCAGAAATTGGTTCAGGTGATGTAGGTGGTTTTCTGGATAGTGATGCAGATGGTGATGCAGGTTCTGAGGTATTTGTCTATCAGTGTTTGGTTTATTTGGAAAATATGGTATTATTTATTGGCCCTAATGGTATTTCCTTCAGGAATTCTATGGTACTGATGATGAAGAATGTGTTGAGGTGGAGGATGGTTCTCAAGGTTTAGCGGTGGACAAGTTTGTTGGCTTGGATGACATTGAAGATGATTTAGGGGTTAGTGCTGTTGTTGTGCCTCTGAAGAGGTCCCTGTTGAAAGATTTTGTGCGTGTTGGGACATCAAAGAAGGCTAAGGAAGTGGTGGTGAAGCAATAAAACTAATAGGTTGTTTTAGGTTTTTAAATGGGATGTAGTACTACTAAGTGTTAACATTTTGCTGTTTTTGGGTAGTGATTTTTGTTGGTTAAGGCTAGAAAATTGCATACACTGCAATGCACTCCTAGAAAGTAGAATCATTCTATTTTCCTATTTTGGTTTTGGTTTTTTGGAAGCTGCATTAGCAACAGTGCCTAATGTACTTAGCCTTAGCAGCAGGAGGTAATGTCATTGTAATGTACTTAGCCTTCTAATGTGAAATTATCTACTTATGATTATAAGCTAATATTTGCAGTTAACCTACACAGAGAAAAACATCCACATACATATTGGAGCTATACCTAAAAGTTTACAAATAAACAATTTTGGAAAGGGGAAAAAAAAAACATACCATGTAATATTTAAAAAAAAAAAAAAAAAACCAGTTCCATAAAGTAAATACAATTTTTTTAAAAAAATCTGTAGAAATAATATATCATCACTTGCCTCTATTTTAAAGTATTAGTATTTGCTCAAATAGATGAATAGATGAATACTGTGTCATAATGTAAAAAAAAAAAAAAAACACATTAAAGTTTAAGAGTCCAATACAATTTGCACAGTACCCAATACATACATGTACAAATACTTTGGTATACACCCATGCCTTGTATCAAACATTAATTGTTGATGGTAAGGTTTGACTAATGTGGACTATTTGTTGATAGTGACTTCTCTTCATCTCTACAACTTCCCATCTATATATACATAGCATTTAAGGAACCAAATACATGTTTTATATTCATTCCCAAATTATATATACATACAATTGGTGGGGAAAAAAATCAAGCATCAGACACATTATTTTCATAGCAAGTTGCATGTTTAATTTCAAATTCTTAGTAGGAGTAGATATTAAAAAAATGCTTTTAAGATTTTGCTAGAAATAAAAAAATGTTTAATTTCAAATTCTGAGTTTAAATATTATGAAATATTTAAAAACGGAATGACAGTAAATGAGTCTTAGTGTTGATTTAAGAAAACAAAATTTCTAATTACATTAAATACTTAAAATTATTAGTATACATTTAGAGGGAAATAATGTCATTCCAAAGTACAGTAAATATCAGAAATTTTATTTAGATACATATATATTTTAGAAGTGAAATTTGAAATAATTTTTCTTAAGTGTTTTATGTGCCACCTGGTACTGGTGAGATCTTCTATCTTAGGTGTTTATTAAATTTAATGCGTGATCCAATATCTTTTGAAGAGATTCACATTGTTGATGGGATTCAATATTCAAGTTTCCGTGATACGTGTCATGCTCGTGGTTTGATCTGTGATGAGAAGGAATATATTGATGCCATAGTTGAGGCAAGTCATTGATTTACTGCTTCTGCTCTCCGACGCTTATTTGTAACTCTATTAACGTCTAATTCCCTATGCCAACTTGAAAAGGTCTGGTATGTTGTTTGGACCCATTTGTGTGATGATGCAGAGTACAATCAGCGAAGAGACTTACAAAATCCAAGTTAATTTCTAATCATGAATCGTATATTTAAATTAACTACTGTATGGCATAATTATAGGTCCTCAGCTTTAAGCGTGGTAAATTAATATTTGAGCTTCAAAATTATATGTAGATTTATTGTTACCAGACAGTGTGAAGAAGATGTATGGTTTGGTGGAATTGGAGAAACTTTTGTCGGCGTGCAGTAAGAGTTTGGGCGATTACCCATTCATGCCTGTTCCTGATATGTCTAGCTTGAATATTTCTCAAAATCGATTGTTATCAGATGAATTGTCTTACGATTGTGCTATGTTGAGCAAAGAACATGATGACATGGTGCAAAAGCTTACTACTGAGCAAAGAGATGTTTATGACAAAGTTATGACAGCCGCTTCTGGTACTACTGGTGGTTTGTTTTTTGTTTATGGTTATGGAGGTACTGGGAAAACATTTATGTAGCGTACTTTGTCTGCTGCGCTTCGGTCACAGCGCAAAATAGTTCTTATGTGGCATCGAGTGGTATTGCTTCGTTACTAATGTCTGGTGGACATACTGCACACTCACGCTTTGCAATACCAATTACTGTCAACGAGGATTCGACTTGCAATATATCACAAGGGAGTGATCTAGCTGAATTGATAGTCAAATGTAGTTTAATTATTTGGGATGAAGCTCCTATGATGCATAAGCATTGTTTTAAAGCATTAGATAGAATTATGCGAGATTTGTTGCGACTTACTAATCCATTGAGTTCTATACTTTGCCATTTGGAGGGAAGACTGTTGTTCTAGGTGGTGATTTTCGCCAAATATTGCCAGTGATACCAAAGGGTACTAGACATGATATTGTTGGTGCGACTAGTAATTATTCATATTTGTGGGCTCATTGTACAGTTTTGTGGTTGACAAAGAACTTGAGGTTGCACAGTGTTGGTACTGATGATGAAATGAGAGAGTTGTTTGCTTTTGCTAACTGGATTGCTTCAATAGGTGATGGTCAAGCTGGTGGTCCAAAAGATGGTCATGTAGAAGTTCCCATTCCACCTAAAAATTTGTTGCAAACAAATCGTGGTCCAATCCAAGCAATTGTGGAAAGTACATTTCTTATGTTTTGAGAGCAACAACATGACGCTGATAATTTAATTGGTCGAGCAATCTTAGCACCAACTCTTGAAGTTGTAGATGAAGTTAATAACTACATGAGCAACTTGAATGTTGCGGAGTGTAGGACCTATTTTAGTTCTGATTCAGTTTGCCCCACTAAAAGCACCCCTGATGTTGTGGTTGGGTTGCACATGCCGGAGTTACTGAATGTGCTAAAATGTTCTGGGTTGCCAAATCATTGCTTGACATTGAAGTTTGGGTCTCCAGTTATGTTGTTGCGCAATATTGACCATTCGTCCGGATTGTGCAATGGGACAAGGTTAATTATTACAAAATTAGTAGACCATGTTGTTAAAGCTAAGCTCCTATTTGGCACTACTGCAAGTGCCAAAGTTCTGATCCCACGCCTGTCGATAACACCATCAAACACTACATTGCCATTTAAGTTTCAAAGAAGACAATTTCCAATGATGCTTTCTTATGTAATGACAATGTCAAGGTCAAACGATTTCTACGGTCGGGCTACTTCTTAAAAAAAAAACCAATTTTTATACATGGACAACTGTACGTTGCTCTGTCTAGAGTCAGCAATCCAAGAGGGCTTAAGTTACTTATTTTCAACGAGGATGGAAAGTGCGTTTCTTCAACGATGAATGTTGTGTACATAGAAGTGTTTAATAATTTGTAAACCCTCTATATTACTAAATATTTGTTATAAAGTAAAAATTACTTTCATGTTGTCAATAATTATTACGTGGTCATATATGTACAATAGTGTGTGTGTGTGTGTGTATATATATATATATATATATATATATATATATATATGTATGTATGTATGTATGTATGTATGTATGTATGTATGTATGTATATTACATATATTTATAAATTTTATATATTATTACTTATTTGTTATAAACTATTACATTCATGTTCTCAATAATTATTATGAGTTTGTATACATATATTTATAAATTTTATATATTATTACTTATTTGTTATAGTTTATAACAAATAAGTAATAATATATAAAATTTATAAATACATACATACATACATACATACATACATACATACATACATACATACATACATACATACATACATACATACATACATACATACATACATACATACATACATACATACATACATACATACATACATACATACATACATACATACATATATATATATATATATATATATATATATATATATATATATATATATAGGCTTCGAATCTGGTGCAATCCCTATACTAGATGAGATCATGAGATTTTATGATATCCATTGATTCATTTTCTATGAATGGTTGAGATTATAAGAGATTGTGAAAATAATTAAGGATATATTGAAATCAAAAGGATTAAATAGTAATTGTAGATATATGTTTAATTATGGATATAATTCAATTGGAATCTTAAGCATTATATTAGGGAAATTATGAATAGAAATTAATATTTTAAATTATTAGGGACCCTATCAATGGTAATAATTAATTATATTTTGTACATCTGAAATTTTAAAATATGGGAAATTTTACGATGATGTGTGCATGGGTGTGGAATGGTGTACACCTCCGGTTACAGAAAACCGCACACGTCATTCCACACCCGCGCACACACCACTGTAAAATTCCTCACAATTTTTTTTTAAAAAAAAAACACAACAAGCCAAATACTATATCTACTACGCACTGATTATCTACTCAAAATTCAAACGCCGATACCCAAATTAGATTCGTATATTTTTGTTTTCTTTTAGATACGTTTCGCACACGCCCGAAACTAGTAACACCCAAATCAAAATGTACATACCTGTATCACGAAACGCACATACCAAAATGCATAATTTTATGAAAAAACCAGCACGCCATGGTGTATGAGCACGGTTACAGTAAAACACACACACCATTCCAAAAATTTACGCACGCACGCAGATAATAGTTATGAGTTTCTCTCGCCAACCAAAAATTTATATATGCATTATACTATACATACTAAATTATCTGTTTTATTATACGTAGAAAATACATGGGTTTTTTTTTTTCCATGCGTAATGAACTTGCATAGTTCCATATTGCTTGTAGGAAAATTAAATTTACTTATATGAAAACATTTGTATGTAAATCAATGAAAATTTTGAGTATTTAACATACCAATAAATTTCCATGGATAAGAGAGAGAAATATTGATTAAGGAGAGCTTAAATAACGCTACAAATCTTTATAAACATGGAAATAAATGAAATGGAAAGTAATAAATATAGTGCTTAAGCACAAAAAGACCCCTCTTCATCTAAAATCAATATAACATGGGATCCAAGTGGTAATCAATTTGAATCGTCAAAAAATTAAAATCAACGATCAGGGAGTGTGCTCACGGGCTCGGTTGACTAGGGGATGTGCACCGGATTCAATATATATATATATATATATGTGTGTGTGTGTGTGTGTGTGTGTGTGTGTGTGTGTGTGTGTGTGTGTGTATAAACAACTAGTACTCCACCCATGCGTTGCACGACATGATATATATATATATATATATATATATATATATATATATATATATATATATATATATTTCATGTCGTGCAACGCATGGGTGGTGTACTAGTTGTTTAAAAAAAAATGTTAGAAGGTGACCACCCTAACATGCTCGTTGAGCGTTGGTGCGCAAGACTTGCATATGGATGTCAATCGGGCCAACCCGCTCGGTTTCGGGCTAGTTCTGTCGGGTTGTCGGGCTAATAAGTTATTTTATTATTTTATTTTCGCGTTCGGTTTGGCCCTAACCCTAAACTTTGGGTTGTTGGGCTAATCGGGCAGGCTAAATCATCTGAACTAAATTTGGAAATTGAAAGTGAGTACCCATATTTAGACTTATAAAAACAGGCTCGATTTATCGAGTTGAGTCCATTTAGCCTTTGTTTAAGCATGTTGAGTTGTATATTTCTCCAATCCGATCCAAATGGATCATCCCGCTTAGCTCCTAAGGGGTACCCGTGTTATACAGGTTGGTCTCATGACCTATGTAACCTGCGGGCACACCCCTATGACTCGCCACCCCTAGTCATACCTTTATTTTTTAAGTTTATTTAAATATTTATTAGTTTAAATGTGTTTGTAATTGTTTGATATTTTATTGGAAAATCCCAATAATAATCATACGAAAAGATTATTATTTTTATGGAAAAAATGGGAAGGATGATCAGATGTTGTGGGAAGAACGAAAGGATACCAAGGGAAGAGGTTTAATACGAGTCGAGCGAAACACTCTTTCCTTAAAACCTTATTTGCTACCTCCCAAAAGTGCTAGGAGCGTTGTAGCCTAGGTTTTCCAGTATAAAACGTACTACGGTTCAATCGTTTGAGCACCCAAACTTTGAACCCGACGAACTAGAGCAAAGCTTCGAACATAGTAGGCTAAGAAAGGAGTAGAAGCAGAGAGTTTTGGGGATGAAACAATATACTTTCCGTTGTATAAAAATCTGCTGCTCTACCCCTTCTTATATAGGGTTGTAGGAGTTCAATACCCTTCAATGCATGGCATTTAAACTGGTATTAAAACCAGTTTATAACATCTGAAACAGTAGGCCACTACCAAGAGATTAAATTTGAAAATATAAAATTGGAATTAATAGAGACTTAATTCTGTACTGAATTTAATCCCACAACGGTCATTGCCAGAGAGGACGAATTATCCTGACGATAGAACGAATCTGGTTGCAGTAGGTCGAATCCAATAGCTCTGTGTTGGAAAGTTATGCCGGCAAGGAGCCTTAATCAAGCCTTTTCAGACTCATTTTTGGTATTTGATTTGCACCCCCTGCGCGCGAGAGAGAGCATCTATGCTATACAATTCAATAAACCTTAGAAAGACTCTTGTATAAATAGTGGTGCAAATCCACTTCCCAAACCAATGTGTGACAAAAAGCTACTCTCAAGTTTTTTCCCTTCACTTTTCCAACTCAAATGGGTCTACTTTGAGAATCAATATCTAATTCACCTATTATCCATTTTGAGCGTACAATATATCAATCTCTTCGTCTCACTACGAAGAACCCGAATCCACTTTGACCCGACCCAAATCGGAAGTGGACCCCACTAATAATTGGACGACAAAATAGCCACTTAATATGCCATTTTAAGCTATTTTTTCCAACAATCCCCCACATGAATGAAAAATTGATTTTCAGGATATTTTGAAATCGGAAACAACTGTGTTCAACGATCAATCCTTGCATAGGATAGGTAGGGATTACTACACCTTTTGAATCTTCCCTTGTGAAAATATGTTTACTCTACTAGCTGTACGGTAGAACACGATGTCTTTGAACCGACCGCCGTTTATGTAGACGATGACATATCTCACACAGGAACCTCCCAACCATGCTCTATTCTCATGACTGTTCCCGTTTTGGTCGTGGGTCACCACTCCTGGTTCTGGAAGAGTTTCTAAAGAATTGAGCCAATCAATTCTCTTTGATTCTCTCTCATATAGGTGATTCTTTTCCGAGTATCCCGCATACTCACACATGTCAACCGACCATTCGAATCATTAAAGCATCAATGTGTTAACCTTGTGCGGGAGTCACTGTTCTAACGAGGAGTGGTAGGGAGTTCGAGACCCCCACAGTGACACGCTCCATTCCATAATTTAGTTGTCCCATTGAACCTAGGTGACAGCTAGGTTGAGTATCCACTATAGAACTTTTTTGTCCAAGGGCTTTAGACCCATTTCTCATGTCAACTATTCCACAACTTCTTTACCTAACCCTTTGGTTAGCGGATCCGCTATATTGTCTTTTGACTTTACATAGTCAACTGAGACAACACCAGTTGTGAGAAGTTGTCTAATGGTATTATGTCTACGACGCACATGTCTAGACTTACCATTATACACATGACTCTGTACTCTCCCAATTGTGGCTTGACTATCGCAATGCACACATATTGGGGTACAGGTATTTCCCAATTAGGAACATCCTCTAGAAAATGGCGTAGCTATTCAGTCTCTTCACAACCTTTGTCCAAGGCTATCAGCTCAGATTCCATCGTGGATATATCTATCACGGTTTACTTAGAGGATTTCCATGCAACGGCTGCACCAGCTAGTGTAAACACGTAGCCACTCGTGGACTTAGAGTCCTTAATATCATATATCCAGTTAGCATCGCTATACCCTTCAAGTACAGCAGGATATCTCCCGTAGTGCAGTCCAAAGTCACGAGTATACCTCAAGTATCTCATAACCTTTACTATTGCCTTCTAGTGCATAGCACCAGAGTTACTCCTATATCTACTGAGTTTACTTACCACAAAGGAAATATCTGGCCTAGTACAACTCATAAGATACACCAAACTTCCAATAACCCGAGCGTATTCTACTTGAGAAATACACTCTCCGTGGTTCTTGGTTAGATGAACGTTTGTATCAAACGGTGTCCTAGCCAATTGATTATCATCCTTGCTAAACTTTGCAAGGATTTTATCAATATAATGTGATTGGCTCAACACAAGACCATCAG